GCTCAGTGGCACTGCACATGCCTTGTAAGCACAAGGTCCTGAGTTCTGTCCCTGGTACAAAAAGAATAAAGATGTTTGGGGAAATTTGAGTAAAGTCTTTAGATTAGATCATAGTTTCAATGTTGACAGCATCAGGTTACTTTCCTGTTCTACTTTTTAGAAGATAATCTTCATGTATTTCAGAAATAAAAAGCTTATGCACTAGAAAAGAAATCACCAACAGAGCTGAGAAAACCTACAATGTGGGGAAAAAATTTTGCTAGCTGTTCCTCAGAGGTCTACTATCTAGAATATATAAAGAACTGAAAAACATCAGACCCCCCCAGATATAAAAAGATCCACTTCAAAAATGGGCATCTGAAATGGACAAAGAAATAAAAGCAGTGGATAAACATATGAAAAAATGTTTAACATCACTGGTCATTGGAGAGGTGCAGATGAAAACAACGCTAAGTTTCCACCTCACCCCAGAAAGAATGACAGCTATCAAGAAATCAACCAGTAACAAATGCTGGTGGGGTTGTGGCGAGAAAGGAACCCTTCTCCATTGTTGGTGCGAGTGCAGACTGGTTCAGCCACTGTGGAAGTCAATATGGAGATACCTCAAAAAATTAGGATTAGAAGTCCCATTTGACCCAGCTATTCCTCTTCTGGTATCTTGCCCCCAAAATGAAAAGAATTATACCACAGTGATATATGCTCACCCATGTTTATAGTGGCCCCCTTTGTAATAGGTAAAACTTGGATACAGCCCAATTGCCCATCACCTGGATGTCCATGTGTGTGTGTGTTTAATAAAATGGAGTACTACTCAGCCATAACGAATGAGAAACTAGAGACATAGCTAAATGGGTGCGCTTTCAAATCATACTTTTTCTTTTTTTTTAAAGCAATACTCAAGTGAAATTAATAAGACACACGTGTAAATCCTGAATAGTTTCTCTGATATGAAAAACTAAAAGTATAAATAGGATTTAAATACATAATTGATATTGTGTAATAGGAAGGAAAGGTCTCAACGAGTAGGGGAAGTGGGAGGCGTAGGGAAAAGGTAAGGGAAAAGAAAAAATATGAAAAAAGGAAAAACATTGAAACAAAGTCTTTGTAAATAAGGAACGGTGGAGGGGGTGAAGGGAGGGCAGGGGAATAGGGAAAACCATAAGAACCTAGATACATCATGTAAAGGTAGAAGATCCCAATGATGAATGTAATTGTATACCTAAAAAGTATCGATAAACTTAATGGGGGGGAATAAACAATGCAGTAGTTTGGGTTAAAGAAGCAAGTATGTCTGCCACTTTCAGACAAATTAAAAATATCAGGACAAAATGATAAATAGATGTTATTAAATATTAAAATTGGGGTAATGTGGCTTAAGTAAGGTTGGATGGAAGTTCTTTGTGTTATTTTTGCTATTTCCTAAGTCTGAAGTAATTTAAAAATAAAAGGTAGAAATAGTAGCTTAATGAGATTTGTCACTGATTTTTTACTAGGTTGTAAAAGCCCTCTGTGTGTCAGTTTTCTCAGCTGTTAAATGGGGTGGTTGGACTAAGTTAAATTTTAAGGGTACTTTCAGTTCTAAAATTCTGTGATTTTATAACCAGACATTATCAATAATTTATATTGTTCCTACAGTCATGCTTGAAGAGAACAATTATTATGAGAGTCAAAAATGGTGTTTAAGCAAGGCTCTGTGGCAAGTGACAGTGTGGTATTCATTAAACTCAGATTTTTTCCCCTGCCAAAAAACTTTTATGGACATTTTATTTAGGGCCAGGGATTTAGCTCAGTGGTTCGGTGGCCTGGAGTTCAATCCCCAGTACCAAAAAAAAAAAGAAGAAGAAATTTTATGTAATTGTATATTTCATTTGTATGTCACTTCTTGGTTCATACTTAAGCATTAATGATATCTTACTATTATGGTTTTGGTTTTTTGTTTTTTTTTGGTACTGGGGATCAAACCCAGGACATTGCGCTTTTGAGGCAGACGCGGTTCCACTGAGCTAAATCTCTGACCCATTATTAGTACTTTATATCAGTTATAAATGTGTTTGACAGGGCTCCCAATGTAAGCTTGGTGATTAAGACTCAAGATTAGCAATGAAAGTTTATGTGGTATAGATATATATTCTGTGCAGCGTAGGATTTTCAACATAAGAGTAGCAGATGGTATAGACACTTAATGGAAATTGTAAAGTATTTTTGGGTTATTTCTGCAAACAGAACTTTGTTAATCCTTTGTCTTCTGTCATCTCCCCCTCCTTCACCCCTAACAGCTTGGCGATCCGCTATTTTTCCTGCTGTAATTGTGGAACATGTTCCAGGTGCTGATATTCTCAGTAGTTACGCTGGTCTAGCCTGTGTGGAAGAGCCCAATGACATGATTACTGAAAGCTCACTAGATGTTGTGAACCCTACCCAATGGGTATTAAGCTGTCCCTGTAGCCCCTTGAGCTCCTCACTTCTTTCTAGTAAGACATCAAAGGTCAGAGACACAGGGCTGACAGCCCAGCATTTCTGGCAGCCCCAGCCATGCAAGACCCCTTCCCTGCTGGGTCTCTGCCGTCAGAGTACACACAAGTAGAAGGGTGCCGGAGGTGAGGGGAGATCTGACACTCACAATGTCCCAGAAGAAGTTGGTCAGCCAGTAGGTGGTGGGACTCACTCCACTGATGAACTGGAGGTGCTTAGCTTTAGTCACCCTCTCTTGGATGAAGTAAAGAACAAAGCTGGCTGGGATGAAGGACATGGCGAAAATCACACAGATGGCAACCACAGCATCCACTGAAGTGGTCAGCCTACAGCAGGACCAGAGATGGGGAGAAAGAGGGGTGAAGAAGGAGGAGTAGAAACAGGAGAAGGTCTGAGTCAGGCTCTGGGGAGTCCTTACCCGACTCCAAGTTCTGACCTGCAGACTCCCTGAATGTAGTCTAAAGCCCATTGTCCCTCTGAACCACCCTTATCAATCTGGGTCACAGCCAGGTGGACATTTATGAATTGCCTTTCTATTTCATGTGGCTATTTCTAGACAAGCTTTCATTTTATTATGTATTCTAGTTATTTGTTACAGTAGATAGAAATAGTTGTTCATATTTATCTCAGATACCATAATGTTCTTTTTAGTTCTAATAATTTGTTTATAGATTCTCTTGGGTTTTCTATGTAGATACCATATGTTTTGTGAAATTTATATCTTTTGTTGAAAAGAAATAAATTATCTTACTCAATCACATCTTGGAGAAATGTTCATAATACAAACCAAATTGGAAACAGAATAGGAGAACTAATACTGACACTGGGCTCTGTTCACCCTGGCTGAGAGCTGAAATGCAGCCTGAAGTTAAGTACAAGCAGAACCATATGTACAAACTGTGCTGATAAAACTCCAGATAAACTCCGGAGGGTGTCATCTACACACACAATGAGCACAGAATCTTCATTGGACAGAAACACAACAAGTTTTTGTAAGAAATACCTTAAACTATGTAAGGTTAGAGATAGTAAGTTCTTGAACCTCTATTGTGTAAATTTTAATTTAATGAATATGTACTGTTTTATGATCACAGAGAACTGCTCTTGTAAATTTCATATTCAAAAGATTTGGCAGGAAGTACAGAAACTTGGGCAGTTGAGGGCTCCAGAAGGTGTCCAGAGACTCGATGCCACTGGGCATGTTTATTAGCACTCAGGGTCTTCTGGGATAGTAAAATGAGGATCCTACCACCTTACAGAAGTTTGCAGTAACAAAGACACTCCTACCAACCCTTCCTCCACATAGCCTCATAGAAAGTAAGTGGTGCAAACATCTTAAGACTGATATTTTTTACTGCCTGATGTGTAGAAGCCTGAACTTGAGGAAGGCAAAGATTTACGAACAGCTCCAAGGGATGACGATCTGAGGGAAATTACCAGAATCAAAGATAATTATACCTGGGGATACAATTCACTGAAATTTCCCAGGCCCCTGGCAATCATTTCTCATATGGGCATAGAGAATGTTGGTGTAAACCTCAGGAATATCTTGTTATCAAGAGTTGAAAGGAAATATTTGGAAACCTTACTTTCCAAATAAATGTAGGAGAGAAAGAATGGCCAAGTAGTTTGGTCTACAAAGTTCATGAAAGTCTTATGCTCTTATGTGCCTGATCAAAGAGCTTTGTCTTCTAGCCCAGCACTTCAAGGAAGTGAAAATCCTCTTGGGTAGCCAAAAGAGTGGCAGAGGGGATAAGAGAGCTGTGAGGCAGGGCCGTGGTGGCTTACACTGTAATCTCCGAGAGCTGCTCCTTGGTCAGGTTCAGGGGCTGGCTGATGACGGTGATTCCGTGCTCCTCCAGGTCTCTGTCCTGAGGCAGGCTGGCCCAAAGAATGGCATTGTGGGCCACGTTCAGGAAGCTGACCAGGGCATGCCAGCCTTTGTTGTTAAACCACACCTAGAAGGTAGAAGTGAGCTTTGTCAAGCCCTGCTACATCCCGAGTTGGCGCTAACACTAGCTGTTTAAAGAAAAAATTAGCAACAGGAAAGTGTGTGAGAAGAAGGAAAGGTTTGGAAGCTGGAAGATGTTCCTTTGTAAATTTCAGTTGGAGGATGGAATCCAATTAAGCTGGGAAAATGAGAATAAAATAATGGTTCACATGAATTTTTAGCTCTAGTGCAAATTATTCAGGTCAAATACCTTAATGTTGTCTTCAGTTTGAAGATGTTTGATGAAATCAGACATTTCTCTAGAGACTTCTCTGGTGATAGGGCACTAGGAAACCATAATAAACATGCAAGATGCCCCCCAAACATTCATAATAACTTCTATTTCATTATGATTAAGCAAATCAAAACTCCTACTCAAATCTCCACTCTACTTACATACCCCACTCACATTCATTATCTGGCCAAGGTCACTTAAAAAACCAACAAGTGCTTTCCCAGTGATGGGGAGAACCAGCAGCTTTCCTCCAGTGGAAATTCCTCCATACCTGTGAGGCAACAAGAAGCCCTCAGGTAAGTGAGATGAATGTCATGCTTACCAGCAGCTCTCTCAGTTTTAGTAGGAAAATGTGTACTTTGGGAAGAATTGTCTGGGATAGCAAGCAACACTGTTCTACTTTACAGACTATCTCTTTCTATCTCTCTGTCTCTTTGTCTCTCCTTGTCTGTGTCTCTCTCTCCTCTCTGCTTCTGTTTTCATCTCTCTTCCCTACAGGTATATTCTGGCCATGTCCAATCACTGAGCTCCAAGTGGTTCCTGTTGATCGGTGTGTTTGCCTTGCAGGCTGCCGGCTTCCCTGGGTGCCCTTCCCTTTCTTCAGCATCTGACCAACTCCATCTCCCCTTTCATGTGTCATCCCTCTTTGATGTCTTCCCTCACTCTCCTTCCTCCCCAACCAGTGATTGGTCTTCTGTGCACCTCAGTGCTTTGCTGAGATACCACTTGTGATACCGCTAGATGCTCCTTGGTCTCAGTAAGACACCCCTCTGGGTGCCTCTCAGTCCCTGCCCTGAGTTACACAGCTCCAACCGTCTCCTGCCTTGACTCTTTTCTACCTTCTTAACTGGGTGCCTGGTCTTCAGATCCATCCTTTGTGATGCTCTGAAGTCTCAAGCGATCACGCTGAAAAGAGTTATCTGTGCATGTCACCAGTTTAAAACTCTTTGAAGGAGAATAAAAAACCAACTCCTCAATGAAACAAAATTAATTTGCTAGTAAAGCACAGCAGAGAAGGATCTTATTTCTCAAGGCCTTGCCCTTTTGCCCCCACTTACTGCTTCAGTGGTGGCCCCCTAGTTTCCTCTAGGGGACATTTCCAAAAACTGGGTTTCACTTTTGTGGTCCAGAAGCCACCCAGAAATGCTAGGCATCAGCCTTGCACCATTGTGCCCAAAGTCCCAGGTCCTGAGGGAGTCTGGGAGGCAGCTCACTCAGAATACTCCCTGAAGATTCTCCAAACATTTGAGTCTCCAGGACATCAGGGCTGGGCCAGACCCACTAAGACTTAACAGGAATCAGCTAAGGAGTATCTAGGCTTATAATATGAGACTTCATTTCTTATAGAAACAGTCTCTTACCTTTATTCATTGACCCAGAATTTGCTTTTTAGGCTGAAATCCAAAATAAAATCATACAATAAATACCATAAGTAGTAAAATTTTGTTTCAAGTCATTGAGATGTCTTAGTCTCTAAAGACATTTTTGCATTTCCTGATGTCCAAGCAATGTGGAAGCCACCCAGTCCAGAGGCTAAGCCTGAATAAGTGTGCAAAGACCCATCTTTTCTATCATTGGCTCTCCTAGTCATATTCTACCTGCTGGACTTTCTAAATGGCCCTGTAGTTGGATCCCATGTGAGACCAGCAGGCCCAATCCAGATTCAGAAAGCATGGTAATGACGATGCCACCATAGACTGAGGCCTACCCTATACAAACGAGACTCTGACGTTGTTGGCACACCTGGAGGGAGTTCTGACTCCCTCCTCAGTTTAGAATTAAGAGGCTGAGTTTCAGACAATCAGAGGTTAAATGACAAGATAGGAAACTGATGGACATCAGCTCCATGCCCAGGGTTTAAGCCTGTGAACTAGTATTGTCATCAAACGTTAAGCGTGCACGCACATATACAACATCTGAAATTCTACATTGCAAATTTGCAGCTGAGAACAAAGTTGAGAGTAATTTATTGCATTACTGAATAAACACTATACACTTTGCTTTTATTTTGGATTTTGGATGGTGTTCTTGATTTTGCTAACTTCTGATTTTGATTTGACTCTCTTTCCAGCAGCTTTTTTCACCTTCTGTGGTATTTTCAAGTTATTTCAGTTTGTTTACCCCTTATTCAGGGCTCTGGTGGGGGAAGCAACTGAAAACATTGCTGAAAATAGACAGTATGCTCTATTTTAAAACTGTGGAGCCAGGGGGATTGGATCACCCTTGCTTAGGATCTCTCCCAGCATGCTCTGGTCAGGCTGCCTACTCCTATAGGGGTGCTGAAGGCCTTCCATCCCAGACATTGGGCCTGATAAGAGCAGCTGCAGAACGGAGAAGCCTAGATACTTACTGAAGAGTTCATGGGAGTTTTCAAGGGCAGTGATAACTCAGGGAGTAGGTGACTGAAGCTTACCATATAGCCCTTTGCCTGGGCACTCCCTCAGACACTCCCCACTACCTTTCCTATTGGGGTCTGCTCGGCTCCTTTCTCCTTTTCTGTTTTTTACTTTTTCTTCTTTCTTCTCTCTTTTTCTCTCTACCTTTTCCCTCTTTATTTGCTCTTGTCCAAACTTAGTCCTTTTAAACAGTTAAAATATAAGGCTACATTATTGAATAAAGTCTCTGCATTTTAGGTAATACTTTTAATAGTGTGCAGCTTAAACTTTGCTTGCCTTAAACATAAAAACACAAAATTAATATTAAGTGACATCTTACTTGTATGTGCCTCAACTGCTTTTTCCTTTGAATGAAGCCCTCTCATTTGAAAAAGAAAACATCCCACTTCCCCCATCATAGATACAATGAGAGTAAATTACTTTCTGTCCCTAGCCAGTTTTGACTTCAAGGAGCTGGGATGAAAAGTAACAAAGTGTCCCTTCTTACCTGTTTCTTATAAGAGCAGGATACGTTTTTACCAAGTAGTCAGAAATGTTCCTGTGGGTAAGGTCTTGTAGGATTTCAGTGCTGCCCTGTGTTCTCTGAAGCAATGAGACACTCACATTAATAACTTTGGAATTTGAGTCTTTACAATTTGTTAAACTGCTGTTCTTCTCCAAACATTATTTATGGACTCATCTCCTGGGAAAATACAAAATAAAGCACTGGCATCTGCCTCGTTGCCCCATCAGTGGTGTGGGAGTTATCTTAGGTCCCTTTTTCCCTCGGTCCATTGACAAGATAGAATAACTTAACTCCAAAATAAATTCCCAGCCCATGTGATTATCTAGCTTCGACTTTTTCCAGTTCGTGTGCATTTATCCAGTTCCAATCATGCAGACCTCACCTAGGCCTCTAGAAAACTTCCAAAGTGTCTCCCTTACTCCACCTGTCCCTCTATGTTCCATTCTCCACCCAACAGCCAGATGGAGCTTTTAAAGTTCAAATCACACCTCAGTCACCTTGCTTACCACTCTCCAATAAACCCTAGTGTCAAATCCGATCTCACCATCCAGGTGCTGTGGCCCCTCGCCATCTGGCCCTGCCTTTCCCGAGATCACTTGCCACCCTCCCATTGCCCTCACCCATTCCCTCTAGTTTCTCAGTGGTCGCCTCTCCTTTCTGACCTGGCTTCACATTTGGTGGTTCACCCTTCCTGAAAGCTACACACTGCCACCTCTCAGCTGAAATTTGATTCATCCGAGCAGAATCTCTGTTCCTGGCTCCTCTCTACAGTCACACATACTGTTGTGTTGCCTTCGTAGTGCTCATCCTCACATGAGACTTGCCTTCTGAAGGGCCCATTTACTGTTTCTATTACCCCTCATGTGGTACCATTTCATGGTTAGTCTCTGACCTGTTGGCTGCTGTGGCCCTGGCACCCAAATAGTTCCTGGCATACAGCTGTCACCCAAATATTTGTGACATGAATGAAATAATATGAATAGTACTTTATAATTTATAAACCACTTCAAAATACATCTAGGGCCAGAAGCCAATTAATCCAAAAGATTTTGGAGAATTAAAAAAAAATGCATGAGTTTGGCCTCCAGATGGCAATATACCTTTGTATTTAGGGACACATAGTATTTACTGAATTTTTTGTGTTAGCTGATTTCATACCCCAATCATGAACCTTGGGCAAAAGCATTCACTTTGTCTACGGTGCCACCCAGGGGTTGGTGGAATTTTTGGTGGTGTTAAAGCCACCACCATTATGCATCATTCTTTTCATCTTCATACACTTTCCATCTTCTTTCTCTTTACCATCTGCCTGTCCCCCTGCTATTCACTTTCTCATCTTGTTTCTCTGCTAGAACTAGCATCTACTGAATGATTGCTGTGTGCACTATGTTAAACACACAGTTTCACTTTGTCCTGATACTTTTTTTTAAAAAAATCAGTACATATTTGCAGTCCATGCAGTGTACAATCATCTTGGGGAGTGGGCGCATGAAGAAGAATTCTTACTTCAATTTACAGACAGACAAACTGAAGTCCAGAAAGGTTGGCTGATTTGCCCTGGCTTACAGGACTTGTAGGTTGTTGGCCTGGGTTAGGAACTTGCATCTGTCTGGCTCCAAGGCCCTTGCTCTTGCCACTCTGTAACCTGCTTCTCAGGCTGACAGTGGCATCCAGAGAAACTGCCACCCTGCCTCGGTGCAATTGATGCTGGGATAGTTTATAATAAGCCATTTTTAAAAATCATGTCAAAACAAAATCTTGTCACTTATGCTAGAAGCCAGGGACAGAGCACTTCCAACTCAGGACTCATCATCATTGAAAGAATTTTAGAGAAGGAAGGGATCCTAGCAAACACCCCATTTTCCAGACTAAGAATATTTACTACTTCTGAATCAGGCCCATACCCTCTGCCCTTATTCTAGGCAGAATGGGAGTGTACATTGAATTAATGGTTGTGTGTGTGTGTGTGTGTGTGTGTGTGTGTGTGTGTGTGTGTGTGACAACAGTGCCAAGGCAAATGTGCAGCATTCAGTTTTACTCCAAAGAGGAAATGTAAGATTAAAAGAAAATAATAGGAACTGGTCTGCGTTTTCTAGCCCTTGACTCTAATGGCTTGTTAAATTTCCCCACAGGGACCAGGGATCAACGCTACTGAGAAATTTTAACCTGGGCAAGCAGCTTCAAGGTAATGCTCCGTTTAGGAACCAAAGCACCATGCAGCTTGGCCTGGCCTTCTCTCCCTCTCCCAGCCAACAGCTTAACATGCAGTGTCCCAGCTATGGGGTCCTGTTGCTGTAGCCACAGGGACCCTCAGCAACTTGGCTACAAACCAAGCAGAAGCAAAACTCCCTCTTTGGGTACTCCCTCTTTGAGATGAGCTCCTGGAGTCCTTTTGGATCCCAAGATGCTACAGTAATGGAGTTGTGATTCAAAGAGAATATGTTGCTTGAGAAGTAAAGGTGTATGCTTTAGGATATTAAAAAGGTGAGAGATTGACATAGAACCCTTTATAAGCCAGCAGCTGTGAGAGATGCTATGGTGACATTTAGTTGTTGCCCCAAATCTGCTCTTCCTCTTGCCATTGGAAGAGCTTTCCTCGTTGGCTCCAGACCACTCCGAATAAGGACTACAGCCCCAAGTCGCCCTGCGGTGAGGTTCTGGCCACTGACTTAGGAGTGGAAGTGCTATTTGGTGCCTTCTGGAAGCCTTGTGAACATTTGTCCATATTTCCTTTCTTTTTTTTTTATCCCTTCTTCCATCCTGCTGCCTGGAAAGTAGATTCTGCCATCTTGATATGAGTTGGAGCATGGAGAAGCAGAGGGATATCATGGGCCACCCAGATGGCAGAAAAATAAACTGTCTTGTTTTATCTCCTGTTGTTTCGAAGTTGTCATCATTTGAGTTGATTCTAGTTCTAAATAAATTACTTACCCACATTATTTCATCAACTAATGAATGTGGCATTATTCATAATAATGAGCTTCACTTCAGCTTCTAGCTTCCAGACAAGGAAATGAAGAAGGCAAGTAACCAAGTCAAGCGTCTTTCCCCTTACACCCCTTCTGCCCATCTGGGAAATGTTCATTCTCCGACAGATCATGAGAGGAGCTATGCAAGGCTATTATGTGCAAGCCTGCTGGGAGGACATTGCCAAGCAGAGAAAAGTGAAGCTTCCCTGGCCACTTCCCTTCTCTGAAATGCTCAGGAGAGCCTCCCTGCTGTCCAGAGTGCAGAACTGTCCAGAGCACAGTCAGTGACACTCCTGTGACAGATGTGCTGCAGGTTATGCCTGTGTGGGGTGCGAGTGCACACGTTAAATTCACAGCACATGGAGGCTTCTTATAACACCACTGATAAGTGTGTGAGTGCATTAACATTTGAATGTAATAGCTTCGTAGCCTTTTGGCTAAGATCAAGTGTAACATTTGAATGTACATCACCTCATTGTTAATAATGCAGAAAAACTGAAAACCCAAATGACCAACAATAAAGGTTAGTTAGCTAAATAAAGTAAATTCAAACACTACAATAGTCTGCAGCTGTTAAAGTGGCACAGATGTATATTAAATGTCACGGTTGTGTGTTCGTCATATGTCAAAGTAAAATATTTTGAATATGATCCTGTTTGGGTGGATAAAAATCAAATGTTATTGATGGTTACCTCTAAGTGATGATTTTTTTCCCTGACTTATCTGTGTTTATTATTTTTTTTTGTGATGAGAGTGGATGATCTATATAATTTTTTAAACTTTGAAAACATTTTCTTACTGAACTGAATAGGAAGTGTTTGGTGGAAAATGAAGCTTTTGGTCAGTGATATCCTGCAGGTGGCAATGCCAAGGGCCTCTGGGAGGTGCCTTTGAAGGAGCCAGGGAGCCTAGTTTGGCCTGCACCCACCCACCTGTTAGTTGGAAATGTTATTCGGCTACAGGCTCAGAAAGGAACAGGCACCCCCTTCACACACCATGCCTGGCACTGCCTGCAGATCAGGGCTGGTTTCCTGAGGGGGCAGAGGTACCTGTGGGGGTGGGAGCCCCCCGGCACCTTCAGGGCACTCAGGTAACATGGTGAGCTTCTCTCTGGTGCTGCACTTGCAGGAGGGTGAGGGGTTGGATGGCGTCCACTTCTGCTTCTGAAATAGGTGAGTGATGTTCGGCGACACAGAGGGAGTCTTCCAGGGGTTGAGTTGCCACAGGGGTACTCCCTCATGGAAAAGAGGAAGGGAATCCACAATCAGTTTCAAAGTTGATTTTTTTAAAAACTTACTTGGAAGAAAAAAATAGCACATAGCTCTCTTTCTCAGCCTTTCACCCTCAGCAGAGCATTTCCTTCTCCTGTTGGAGGTTCAGTTATGCTCAATACTAAGGCTGATTGACTAGGTGCGGGGCTAAGAAGTAACTAAGTAGTTTGCAGACTTTCTTATCTCCCTTTTTTCAATGCGAGAACAATAAAAAAAGAATTATAAACTAGTATAGCTTGGTCCTTACTGATAGAAAACTTGGATGAGAGAAGTTAAAATTATATTGAATTTGTGGCATTCCTGGTAGATTTCAACTCTCCTTCATAATTCCCTTCTCTATACGTACACCAAATTGAGAGCTGGCCATAGAAGTAATTAGTGCCATTTGAGGTCCAATTACACAACAGCATATCCTTTGCCATCCTCCTGTCCTTGTTCAAAGGCCTTTCAAGTAAGTTTTGGGAATCATATGTCAACTGAATACAGAACTACAATTCTGAGAAAGATAGATGTGTCCAGTAATGCAAGGACTTCCTGGGAGGGAGGAAAGGCCTCTGCACACAAGGCTGAAGAAAAGCTGGTTAGGTGCTGGCCAGAGATGTGGAAGTGATGTGTGTAACACAAGATTAGAGGGGTCTCTCACAACCCAGACCCCACTCTCAGGAGTGGATGGTGCTAGGGGAGGGGAGCTCAAGGACTTACAGAAGCCGCTGTTCCTTCAGGCAGCGGTTGCCAAAGCCTGGCTTGTTCAGGAGGACGTCTGCCAGCACTGCAAGGCGCTCACTGCCAGGCTCGTCCATGCTAGACCGAGGGAGAAAGGCTTATCTAGTGGTCACATGAATGGTGCCGCGTGGACAAGAGCAGCCAGAATGCAATTCAGAGTCCACTGAATGGCCACTATGTGCCAGGCTTTTGTTTGAGGCACTGAATGCGGCCTTGGAGTGGCTTTAGGTCTCCTGGGAGGTTAGGCTCCTGAATATGCCGAGCATCTGAAGGCAGATTGTCCGCAGCTCAAAAAAATAGATCTCAATCTGCTCTCCCAAATTTCCCATCCTCTGCTTTCTCCCCTTCCACTTGGGATCAGCCTTCTAGGCAGTGGCAGGTACATTGACATCACTTCTGAGGGAAGCAGAGGGCCCCTTGCTCGTCGATGAAGATCCCAGGGAGGGAGGGTCAGAGCCTTCAAGCAGCATGCGGACTGCGTACCTGAAGAAGCTATACTGCTGCCCATATATCCAGGGGTGAAGAGTCAAAGCAGGAAATTCACCAAAAGGAGGCACAATGACGGAAAGCGTCAGAGCCACCAACACAAAAGTGGCTGGGAATGCAATCTGGGAGAATAAGCATGGAAACACGGCTGAGGTCAGAGAGATAGTAAACTCACACACATGCAAGCAGGATCATTCTTCTAAACATTTATCCTGCCACCCATAATCAGACCCTTCTGGAGAAGAACATGCTTCTGGGGAATATTACAGGAAGGACTGCAAAGATAAGATACAGTGTGTGTCTTACAGAATGAGGGCAGCGGGTGTAGCTCAGTGGTAGAACACTTGTTTAGCATGTGTGAGACCCTGGGTTTGATCCTCAGTACTAAACAAAAGATACGTAGAAGAAGACAGAATGCTCTGGCAGCCATTGAAGAATGCGAATATATGCGATATTCAGCCAGAAGCCAAGGGACAACTTAAAAACCAAGTCACATTACTCACTACTCTTTGAATCGAGTTTCTTTTTTCATTAAGTGTATTGGTACTTTTTAGTTACACAGTACAGTTACATTCATCACTAGGATCTTGTATCTTTATATGACAGATCAGTTTCTTTTTCTTAATTAAAAACATAAAGAGAACAAAAGATAATGACCTTGATATGTAGGGTCACTGTAAAACCTAATGAAAACATGACTTTACTCTCCACTCTAAGAAATAATGATATTAACAGAATCAGTACTATTCTATTTTCTCTGCTAAGTGAGGTCCACTGCTTACAAAGAATATTTGTTACCCAGAATCAAAACAAAATTTTATCAAGGAAGATGCAAAGTCAGCAGAATCTAAAGAGGGCTCTCAGGGCTGTGTTTGAACCCGCAGGGGCGGGAATGCCCAGGGAACATGGTACAGCCAGGAATAGGCCAACAGGCCCAGGAAGTTCTGCTGAGCACAGCCAAAGCCCTCAACAATACCTGAGCCAGGAAGTCCTTGCGGCTGCGAACTGTGTGGTGGAACCGCTTGACCAGCAGCGCTTGTCCGTGCTGGAGGTCCAGCCGCACGCCTGTGTTGAGGGCGATGCTGGGTTCTTCTGGCTCATGGGGAGCCTGGCCCTCAGGGGGGGCATCCTGCTCCAGAGAGCAGGTGGTGGAGCCTCGGGCAGGCTGCCTGTCCTTCTTGCTCGGCCCCAAACAGGGGTGTCGGAGGTTGACATGTTCCCTTTTCTGCTGAGTGCCACCTATTTGAGGAGGTTGAATCAAAAACATGTAAGTTCTGGATCCTATGTGCTATCTTTTCATTTTTTAATTTATTTTACTTTGATGAGTTTATTGGTACTTTTTAGGTATACAGTACAGTTACATTCATCATTGGGGTTTTATACCTTTACATGATATATCTTGGTTGTGCTATTTTTTTTTCTAACAGCATTGGCTTTCCCTTTCTTTTTCTTAGAGCAGCAACAAAATGCCAGGCCAGGTAAGTTAATAGTCTTAAAAAAAAAAAAATCTATTTGTCAGTGTAAATTCTCTATAGAATCACCCAAAATCACTTAAAACTGCTATTTGCATTGAAGAGAACAAAATAACTGAGTGCGTTGACATAGAAAGAAGTCAAAACAAATAACTCAGTACCAAAAAATGTCTAGGTAGAGAGCAACCTGTATAATAAGTTTTTATTTATGTTAGAAAGTGGGTATATCACACAAGAGACAAAGGACACTCGGTACACACACACACACACACACACACACACACACACACACACACACAACTGAAAAGCTCAAAAGGATGCCTGCCAACTGTCACCAGAGGTACAACTGGAGAGGTAGAGGCAGATGAAGGTTGTCAGAAAGGGAACTCCGGTGTTTTGGGGTATTATTTCAATTTTTAAACAATAAAATATACTCACTTATGATCTACGTACATAAAAAGTTATAAATTTTAATAAACTTGGTCTCTCAGTTCTTAGAGGACACTGAAAAGTATAGAAGGACTAACTAACTAGAAGCTAGGAGATATGGGGTTAACTCTAATTATTATCATTATTTTTTGGCACCAGCGATCAAACTCAAGACCTTGCTCTTTCCAGGCAGGCACAGTGCCACTGAACTACACCCCCAGCCCTTAGATCTGATTCTTAAAAGATGTATAAATTTAGAGAAGTGTCTCACTGTAAATCTGAATTTTCTCATCTGTGGAATGAGGATGAGAACAGACCACAAAATTGTTTTGAAGTTCAGATGAGATAACACAGCGAATGTGTTGTATAAATGGTTCATGTTATCAGTTATGTTGGAGCTCATGGTCACTCTCTGATGCTCCTTCGAAGAACATCTGTTGTAGATGCAGAGGAATTACCTAGGGACCGAGAC